AAAAGTACAGGCAAGTAGAGGTAAGAAGAATTGTAGGTGTTAAGGAAGAAAATGAAACAAAATTGATCATGTTTAAATACTTTGCTAACTTTCACTTCATGTAAAAGAGCCCTTAATTGTGTACCTATGCTAACCTGCCTATAAATTTCACTATTTTAAACCACTTCAAATCTAGCGAATTCAAAGTTGATCACAAGAAGGGAAAACTACTAATAGTATTGCAAAATGCTTTTTCTAAAGTCTCTCACAGGAAAGGAGCCATATATTGACGAATAGTTTAAAGGAAGAGAGGAGGAATGTGGTAGCCTCAGTTCCTATGCAACTCTGGAATGATTTGTAAGCCCTGAGCAAGATGATCCCGAGGACTTAGCATAGGTTCCCTAAGAACCAATGTGCCAAACCAGAGGCAGATGAATGCCACAGATCCACCCTACATGAGTCATACACAAGGAATATATAAAATAATACAATGAGCTGCAAGCACAAAGTATTAGGATTTCCACTCATAGTTACTCCAGTTAAATTGTATTCTATGTATACAGAAAGAGAAAAAAATTACTGCCTGATAAAAATTTGGAGATCACTGCTTTTTTATCAAAATACTCAAAAGTGGGCCTTTGTGGACAAGATGAAGAAATAGGAATTGCATGCAAGTTTTGTTGGAAAACATATGTAATAGGTCATACTATCTTTAACTAGATACATATTCCTGTAATAGAATGCTTGGTATTGTAAAGACCTCATTTTCTCCAAATGTTTCTCCCATAAATTCTTTTTTGGAACCTGGAAAATGATTGTACAGCTTAACTGATTGAAGAAATAAGCAAAATCATTGAGGTATCTGTTGAGTTAAAAAAAAGTATAATGAAGTCCCAATTGCTCTCCCAAATAATTCAACAGCATTCTATGAAGAAACAGTAATTAAAAACATGTGAAACTGTTGTAAGACTAGTTTTTTAAAATCATTTAAACATAATGGTTTATAAACAGGCCATATATATATGCAGGAAATTAGTATCTGATACAGGTAATTCAAAGCAGTAGGATAAGGATGATGACATATCCAGTTAGAAAAGTATTGTGTCAGACTGAAAAAAGATAAAATATTTTCAAGTTCTAGAATATAAACTAAAAAATATTTAGTTTTGAGGAAGCCCAGTGGAAAAACCTAGAAGCTATAAAGGAAAGATAATAGATTTGACAATATAAAAGTGAAAAATCCCTGCATAATAAAAGACACCAAAATAGATAAACAATAATGAGCCTATCTGCAACATATATGACAAAGGTTAATACATTCTCGTAACCTATAAATAACCCCTTTTTTATCAGGATTAAATTTCAAAGAACATGGAAAGATAAATCACAGAAAAATAAATACAAAGCCAATAAACTCCTGATACCGTTGCCTCCATCTCATTAGTAAAGAAGAACATATACTGATACACTGTTTGTCATCTAAGATTGGTAAAGGTTAAAGAAATTTATTGTTGGTAAAGGCATAGAGAAATAAGCATTGTAGTATACATTACTGGTAATTTTAAGTTAAAGTAATAGAATTTCTAACCTTTTTGAATGCAGTTTGCCAATGTTTATCACAATTTAGAATGAGTTCCAGCAATTCTATTTTTAGAAACATTTTCTAAAGAGTTACATATATATATAAATGTCCTTATATTTTTATATTATGCTTAAAATGACATAAAGTCAACCTAATGTCCAATTAGGTAGGAAATAAATAACTTACCCATATGGGTGATTGTTATTGTACTGGTTAACTACATATTATTATTATTGTGTAACAGAATTACCCCAAAATTTAGTGGCTTATGACAATGAACATTTATTAGCTTCATAGTTTCTATATGGCAGATACTTAGAATTAACATCGATAGGCAGTTCTGACTCATCATCCCTCTTGACATGAGCTAAAGGCTGACGTGGAATTCGCCAATCTGCCTCCAAGATGGCTCACTCCATGACTGACAAGGGGTTGGCTAGAAGCCAGGTGGTGCCCACACAGCCCTCTCCACTGGCTACTGAAGTGTCTTCACGGTATGGTAGTTGGCATCCTCCCTGTGAGCCATCTAGGAAAACCTGAAGCTAATTTTTTTTTCTTGAGACAGGATCTTGCTATGTAGGGCAGGCCAGCCTTGAAGTCATGGTGATCCTCCTGCCTCAGTCTCCCAAGTGCTGGGACTACAGGCACGCGCCATCATGCCTGGCAAAAATCTTAATTTTTAATGAGTTTGAAGTGTTTGCAAACATAGAAATGTCTAATAGGCGGTAGCTATATGAGACCTAGCAGTCAGGAGATGTGTTTGGATGTATAATCTTATGACTTAGAGTATCAGTGAAAATGAAAGCCATGGGCAAATAATCACTGATTTTTTAAGAGGAAGAGGTGCTGCAAGAGATTGAAAAGGAATGCCAGAAATGTAAATGAAAAACTGCCTGGGCAGTGCAGTCACAGAAGGCAAGAAAGATCTGGAGTGCCATACTGAATCAAGCGATTACAAATCAAACACTGTGTATCAAATAGGAAAAAAGCTAATAAAATAAGAGCTCTCACCCATGGTGCCAAGGCAAGATACTTCTATAGGATGGATGTGATGAATGGCATTAATGTCTTCTGGTGCAGTGCTTATTAAAGTGTGATGTGCATACAGTCATCTAGGAATCATATTAAGCTGCAGCTTCTGCCTATATAGGTCTTGTCTAAAACCTGAGAGTGTGCCCTTCTAAGGTCCCATGCGATGCCTGTGTGGCTGGCTAGTCTGCAAGCCACATGTGTTTCTGCTGTAGTTCTCAAATCTTACTGAATAATCACCTGGAGGTTTTCACACAGATGAGCGGGCTGCCACCCCCACAGATTCTACTTCAGTAGGTCTGGGTAGGACCTGATCGTGTGCATTTCTTACAAGCTCCCAGGGGATGGTGCCTGTCGTGGGCCAGGTCCCCAGACCCCAGCTCAACTGCTGACTCCAGCACAGAAATAGCCAGGGAGCCTGTCTGGGCTTCCAAATATATTGCAGACAAGAATATTCCTGCACATCACTGCAGTCATGTCCATTACCACAGCTTTACGGTTGGTTTCTCCCTGACTCCATGCTTACAAGGCCAGAAGGCCAGGACCTGTATTTATTATCCATTACTTCCACAGCTAGTTTCACACCTTAGATTCATTCTTAATTAGTTTATTCATTCCCAAGGCTCTCAGCAGTGAGTGCCTACTTCGTATAAAGTCCCAAAGCTTTATCTGGCTTAGTATAGCCATTTCATGATATTAAAGCAAGCAGCAGCTTACGAGTACTATTTCTTTTACTCAAGGGATGCATGTTTCACCACAGTCACATTTTTCCCCAGAGTGAGACAATTTAAGGAAACCAGCCCCATTCAATAAAGAGGAAAAATCCTATCTGAGGAATAAATTCACGTATGTATTTATTAAGTATGCAGATGTTTAATGTAAGGCATCTTAAGTCCATACTAGAAAACACCAATAACCATGACGCAACATGGTGAATATCATCTGAAAAAAAGACTGGCATTGGCATTAAAGCTAACCCAGCAGATACCTCAGTCCAGTAGCACAGAATGTGCTTGTTATTAAGAGCAGCAGACACACAAAGGTGCAGAAAAATATCAGCAGGCAGGAGTGACTAGGAAAAACTTCCTAGATGGAATAATTTCATGCCTTTTCACAGGTATTATATATAATATATAGTGTGTACAACATATGTAACAAAGTTTATACTATATAATACAGATTACATCTAAATATACTGTTTAGATACTGTGTATTAATGTATGTATTGTATATTATAGACATTTGTATGTACTATATTGTTATGCAAAATGTATACATCGCACATATAATGTACATGTATCATATGTATTAAATAAATAATTGTGTGTTAAGTTTTTCACTGTTAAAAACATTAGGTATAAAGCACAATATGTACCCTCAAAAAAGGCTTATAATCTAGTTTGAAGACAGAAGAGCACAGGAAATTCAACACTAGTGCATATTTTGGAAGGAAAAAACTAGCAAGAAAACAGAGCCAGGGGCACGAACACTAGAAGAGGGTGTCTGGGGACGCAGAAGTGCTAATCCTTCAAAGCACTTATCAGTGGAAACTAGGGGTTGTGGGAAGGGAGATGATGTCAAGACCCGGGGAGCAGCTGCTTGGTCCTTCGTACCTTCCCTTCCGGGACCTTTCACATCCAGCAGTAAAGAGCAGAGGGTACAGGAGGGGATCGGCAGGAAAAGGAAGGGCTTTTTTTGTTTGGTTTTGTGCTTTTTGTTTTTGTTCTTTGCATGGAAGTCTCGCTGTGTGGCCCAGGCTAGTGCTGAAGTCACTATGCAGCAGGCTGAGCTCGAACTCGTGGGGATCCTCCTACCTCAGCCTTGCGAGTGCTGAGATCACAGGCGTGTGCCACCACCCCCGGCAGCGAGAGTTTTTAAACAGCGCACACCGCAGCCGCAGGCCTTCCTTCAGGGGTCCCCAGGCCCGCCTGGCTCTCAAGCCCGGGGCCGCAGTGAAGCCGCTGTTCCCGACCGACCGACTGGAACGACTCCTCCTCCGCGCAGCCGGGCCCCTCCTCCCCGAACCACAGCCCTCGTCCTGGCTTGGGGCTACCCGCATGGCCTTTTGTAGGTGAAGGCGGACTCCGTGACACACTGACCGCGGAAACCGCACGTACGCTCTGAAATTGCCAGCAACCCGAGCGGGCCCGAAGACCGGAAACACACTACTTCCTTCCGGTCGGCGCCGCACGAGACGGGGCGGAGCAGCGCGAAAGGGGGCGGAGGCTCGTGTTGACTGACAGCTCCATAAACCTATGGGTGCAGCCGCGGCGGTCCGGCCTCCTCGGCGCGCCCCTTCATGGGGCTGTAGACGCCCCCTAAGCCCCCCATCGCAAGGTGTTGCACAAAGCTCCGCTGCTGCCTGGTCCTTCCTTTCCCCGCCGCGCTGCGGACCGCGTGCGGCCCCGCCCCCGCGGCCTCAACGCCGCCTCGCCCGGCTGGCCTTTCCCCGCCCGGAGCCGAGCGTGAGGACTGCTGAGGCCGCAGGTCTGTGGCTGCGTGTCGGGCAGCGAGGGAAGCGCGGGCGCCAGGTCCCCGAGGTCCCGCGGACCGCGCGGACGCCGGCTGCGTCCTGCCGAGAGGCGACCGCCGACTGCTCCTCGGGCCGCCCCGCCCCGTCCTGCCCCGCCCCGCCCCTCCCCGTCGCGTCGCCCTGTCCGGGAGGCGCGGCCGCGGCCCCCCACGGCGTTCGTAGGGAACCTAGCGCGCGGGAAGCGGGCCGGGCTGGAACTCGGGAGTGGGCAACTTTGCGGAGCGCCCTCTCCGCAGCCGGCTGCGCGGGCGAGGGAGGGCGTAGGCTCGGACCTCCGCGGCCGCCGCGCGGTCCTGGCGAACGAATGAATGGCCAGTGTCCGAGCTTCTGCGCCTGCCCTCCTCTCCACCGGCGCCCAAATGAGGCGGGGTGGCGGGGTGCGCGGCTCAGAAGAGCGGAGCTGGGTGCCCCGCCGCGCCTGGGGAGCGCACTACTGTACTAGACAGCCTCATTAATAAAGGATCGCCTGCAGGTCCCTTTGCAGATGTGTCAGCTGGTATTTCTTTCCACTCGCCGGAGGAACTTTTGTTTCAAAGTTCGTGAGACTACTGCAATCTAGATTTACTAAATTTACACTTTAAGTATTTGCTGGCTTCTGTTTTAACCTGTTAGAATTTATGGATGGTGGGGTCTTCAGGGCATAGCCTTGGGATCCTTAGGCCTTTTGGGGGATAAGCTCATCTCTGGCTGGACCACTTTGCTAACGCTGCTTCTTCCCTTCACTGCTACAGTTTCTCCGTCTCCAGTGCTTTTGAAGGCACAGCATTTAAAACTTTTCAGCCCTCAAGTCTTTTTCTTCTCACAATTCTTTCAGTGATTGAATGAATAAACAAATTGTATGGTGTAGGTTGGTTCTCTTCTACAGAGCACGTTGTTTAGGGATTAATAAGCTGTCGAAGCAATCATGCCAGGCTACTGATCATATTTAATAAATAATTAGTAAAATGCTACTCTGTTCAGAGGAGTGAGGCAAGATGTTCCGGGGGACAGAATTAGCTTACTCACTGCCACCACACCCCCGCCTCCCACTTGCAGCTTCCAAACTAGGCGCTGCACCCTGCCTGTACTCCCACTATTAACTCCCTGGGATAGCAGCTGCCCTGATTGGCATACACCCCCCGCTGTCATCACCACCCAGGCATAAAGCTTGCAGTGTGAATTGCTTTAAAGAACATAGGTGTTAAAATTCAGATACCTGAACGAAGACAGTGTATCAGTGCTTCAAAATCTGTCAACAAATTTACTACTGAATCCCTCCCACGTGGTCAGTTCCCTGGAAGATTTAGCTTCGGCATAGGGAACTGTAGAAAATAATATAACACTGTAATTATCCAGCAAGTTGCATGATAAGTGTTATGGCTCATGTGAGGAGACGGTCAGCAGGGGTTGGAGCTTCCAAGACCACTTCCTCTAAAGGAGATGGGGGCTTGTCTGTTCAGCTCACCTATCTGGCAGTGCCTGCTGGAAAACAGGTGCTTCAAAAATACGATTGAGTTAAATGTTTCTGTTGTATCTTGAGTATACTTTGACTGGTTAAAGATTTGGATGGGAAAAATAAGAGGGGCTGCTAAGCAGGGGACAGCAGCCCAAGTGAAGTCACTTAACCACAATTGAGCAGAGGCTGTATTGTGGGGAGGATGCTGCGGTATAGCTGGGGCCGTTTATTGTATTTCTGTGTTGTTTGTAGGAGTGATTTGAAGAAAAATGTATGTGAATCTTTGACATCATGATGTACATACGGCAAAGAAAAGAGATAAAAACCACCGAGGTTTCTGAGGACTTTCCAGCACAAGAAGAAAATGGGAAGCTGGAAAATAAATTACCATCTGGTAGGTGATTTAAACTGAAGCAGGATTTGGGATTGCTTTTATCTTTGCTTGATAAATTATCACTCTCCAATAGGGTAAAAATTGCGTGAGACTTAACAGTTGAGGAAACTTGTTCTAGCACTCTGATATTCTGATTGCATTTGGATTATTTTGGTTTCACGGTTTTAATTAGATAAAAGAGCTTTGATTAGAACCCTCTGTCAGTTTTTTGTTCATTAACTTAAGGTTATGCTAATCTGATCCTTCCACTCTCTACTATAATACTTTTCTTCACCATTCATATTTTAGTTTAATTTTTCTGGCTTATATTTGTTAATAACACTAGACAGCCTTACTTTGGGTTGCTTTTACTAAAGAATTGACATATAAATCACAATTTTTGTATTCTTTGTTTTCAGTCAAATCACTGAAATTTTTTCCTTTGGTTTTTTGTGGAAGTGGGGCAGGAAAAATTATTAGAACTTGGTAAATTGTTTATATAATGCATAAAGACTTGCTAAGTGGTACATCAGATGGCATTATTTGTCAACTTCATGCTTTGTGAATTGCTTTCCTAAGAATGGTCAAGATCTTAAAAATAAGCTTGAAAAATTCCATGCTTATCAGCCGTTTTGGATATCTGACAGAGTTTACAGTCTTTACAGACATTCTAATTATTACCAGCCATAACTAATAAAATAATTTGAGGATGCAGTTTAATAAAATAAAAGAAATCTGTTTTGGAAAGTTATGCCACTCAACTCAGCTATTAACAATTAATGCATTTTTTTTAAGAGAAAAAAATAGGCGCCAGGGATATAGCTCAGCAGCACAAGTGCCTGCCTGGCAAGTGCAAGGTCCTGAGTTCAATTCCTGGTGCAAAAAAAAGACAGAGATAAAAAATAAAATTTCAAAACGAGATAATAGAAGAGTAACAATGGTTAGTACTTTCCACATTGTTATCTTTAGTTACTTAGAATACAAGATATAGGCATTTAATTGTCTAAACAGTATTAACACAAACATTTCTTTTCAATGAACCAGGAGAAATTAGTATAACTATCTTAACTATTTTGTGTGTGTGTGTGTATACATATATATATAATATATATATGTATATATATTTTTGCTTTTCCCTTCCTTCTTTTCTTCTTTCCCTCATCCCAGTTTCTCTTTCCTCTTGAACGGTTTCTTCCTATTTTGCAGTATCACTTGTACATTTTGGATTTTATTTACTTTTTCAGCTTCTCACCCTAGGGGGACAATACGATGTTTGCACGGGTCACTCTGGTTTATTTCATTTATGAGTATGGTCTTGAGTTACATCCATTTACCTATAAAAATCTCGAGTTAATCCTTCTTTATAGCTAAGTAGAACTCCATTGTTTAAAAAGACTGCATCTTTTTTTGTCTGTTCCTCAGTTGATGGGCATTTGGGTTGTTTCCAAGATTTAGCTGTTACAAATTGTGCTGCTGTAAACATGGTTGCATATATATCACTGTGGTATGATGTTTTCTGTTCTTCTGGGAAGATACCGAGAAGGGGAATAGCTGGGTCAAATGAGACCTCCAATGCTAGTTTTTTTGAGGAATCTCCACACTGATTGCCACAGTGGTTGCACCAGTCTGCACTCCCACCAACGGTGGAAAAGAGTTCCTTTTTCCCCACAACCCTTTCAGCGTTTGTTATTGGTCGATTTCTTAATGATAGTCATTCTTTCCAGGGTGACGTGGAATCTCAGTGTTGTTCTAATTTGCATCTCTTGAATGACCAGTGATGTTGAACATTTTTTCATATATTTATTGGCTGTTTTTATTTCTTCATCTGAGAAGTATGTATTCATATCAGATGCCCATTTTGGATTGGGTCTTTAAATTTGGTAGGTTTGATTTATTTTTGGAGGTTCTTTATATGTTCTTGATAGTAACCCTTTGTCTGAGGAACAGCTGGCAAACACTTTTTCCCACATTGTGGGTTGTCTCTTCCCTCTGTTGGTGGTTTCCTTTGCTGTGCAAAAGCTTTTTAGTAAGATGAGATCCCAGTTGTTGATCCTTTGTGATAGTTCCTTTGCAGTCAGTGTTTTTTTCATAAAGTCTTTATTAGCAACTAATGCATTTTAGACATAGTAGTTTCTGAATATAATACCAATTCAAGTTTGTTTCTTTTAAATGCAGTTATAACTAGGGATTATTAATTTTACCAAAACAGCACTTATCATATCAGAAAAAGACCTGAAAACTAAAGAAAATTGAAAAACAAGCAAAAAAATACTCCCTTGAATATCCATCCTAAGACTGGAACAGATGACACTGTTCCTCTTGCTGTTTCAGTTTCATTCTCTGAACCTGTGTACTACCCCCTACCCCAGCATTCATATGTAGTTGTACAAAATTGAGATTCATGTGTTGGCTGGTAAGTGGCTATTTTTCTCTTACGTTATGAACATAAGCCAGTTGATCCACGTTAAAAAATACTGTTATTACCCAACTCTGGGGGGCCCAACAGACCAGGCTCACCACCCTTCCCAAAATGCCAGTCAAGGAGACCAGCAGTGATGAAGGGCAGGAAAGAGCCATAATCAGTATAGCCGCGCTAGCAAGTACAGATAGAGGCTCAAGATTGGCTTAGAGGGGCTAATAGAAGTTTGGGGCTTTTATAGAAAGAAAGGAACAAAAACAAGGGCTGGGGGTTTGCAGGACTACAGGACTTCGCTCACTGTTTAAGCTGTCCTGGGCAAGTCCTGGTCTGGTTGATGGTCTCTCAGGTTCTCTGAAATCCTGGGAGAGACAGTATTGCTGTAGGGGGCGGTTCACTTTGCCTCCTGGGATGACAGCTCCTGCTTTTTCAGCCCCCTCATTTCCTGTCCAGTGGTGACTGCTCCTGCTTACGGGCTGGCCTCATTGTGGGGTGGTCTGTAAGGCTATACTTTTACTGGAATCTGAAGTGGCTGCAAGTTTAGGACAGTGACTCTTTGAGTCTTGCAGGCACTGCTCCAGGGTGTCTGGAACTGTGTGTTGTAACAGCTGGCAATTAAATGTCCCTGAAAATCCTGAAAATTACTTTAATTACTCTTATGTTGGTGACCTTACTTTTGAAGAGAAATGAGGTAGGCTTGGTAAACTGAAGGTTAATACGCCTTGTAATATATTCCCTGAGTGATTAGCATGCCTCTGTGCCAACAGGAGCAGGGATCTGTCCCTTAGTTTTAAGGTGGTAAAGCAGACAAATAAAATGAACACCAAGATGCCAAGCTTAATCCTGCTTTTAGTTACCCATTGAGAATCTGTAGACTTTGCCTGTAAGCCCCTGTTCCATTGTTAGTATATAATATTACATGGTGTGCAGTAGCGTAATTAAACTAATTCCTCGTGTAATGCCAAAATGGTTTTTTAACCTTCTAAAACAAATAGAATTGTGATAAATATTCCTGTGGCCAAATGTTTATTTGAAACTTTAATTATTTCCTTAGGTTATATGCCTAGACATGGAACAATCAAACGGTATGCTCATTTTGATGGTTTTTATTCCTGTTCCCAGGTTGAATTTCAGAGAGATCTCAACTTACTCTTCTCCCACCAGGATTTAAAGATGTCTAATACCCTTTCTAAAATAGAGTACTAGTGTTTTTTAAGCTATCAAATTGGCCAGGATTTTAAAATTACAGCTCATTGTTTTGATTTGCATTTTTCACACTAGTGAATTTGAGTGGATTTGAATGTTGTTTCTTCTGTTACATTTATTGATCATTTTTTTCTTTTGTGCATTGCCTGTTTATGCCCTTAATCTGTTTCCGACTAGAGTACTCACCTGTTTGTTATCTTGAAAGTATCCTATATTAAAAATATTTAAGCTCTCTTACTTACACTGTAAATACTTTTCTTACCTTATATATCCTTTTAGTTAATATGTATTTTTCGTATGGTTTTTTTTAAATAATCAAAGTTTTGGTAACTATTAATGAATAAGCCACAAATTATGCAGGAGTCATCTAAAAGATTGTTCACACCTTAGACCTATAGCCCATTTATTCCTCTAGGTAGCAAACTTCATAGAGTCTGGTTGTTCATTGATGGCTGGATATTAAACGTGAATAAGACAATGCATTTGTCCTTGAGGAGCTCACATTCTAATTGGCAGAATGAACAAATGAAGGGTTAGGGACATTGGAGTAAAAGCTAATAAGAGCTAAAAACAAGGTGGGTATAGTGGCACTTACCTGTAGTCCCAGTTACTCGAGAGGCTGAGACGGGAGGATTGCTTGAGCCCAGGGGTTCATGACCATTCTGGGCAACATAGCAAGATCCACTCTCCACAAAAAGTAAGAGAGAAGCTGGGCCTGGTGGTACATGCCTGTAATTCTAGCACCCTGGAGGCTAAGGCAGGAGGATTGCAAGTTTGAACCCAGATCAGGTAATTTAGCAACTTGGTGAGACTGCAACTCAAAATAAGAAACAAAAAAAGGCGAATGTATAGCTCAGTGTGAGGTCCTGGGTTCAATCACCAGTATGAAGTGGAGGGGAGAAGGAGAAGGAGAGAGAGGGAGAGGGAGAGGAAGAGAGAGAGAGAAAAGCTGTCTACTGGGGGACAGGGAACGCTGCAGGCAGCTGAAACTCATTTTACCTGATAGCCTGAAATAGAATTATGAAATCCTAAAATTTTCACTGAGTTATTTATGTTTCCCTTCTCTGAAAGGTTGTACCAACAGAAGATTTTGGAAGATCCTGTCATTTACAGTTGGTGGAACTACTGCCCTTGGTATTGGACTTCTTACATCAGTCTACCTTGCCACCTTACATGAAAATGACTTATGGTTTTCCAACATTAAGGTATGAGGTTTACATGATGATGGTATGATGTATTCATTGGCATCTCCTGTAGCCATGCAGATGAATCAGAACACCACAGTCTTGCCATAACAAATACAATCTCTGGAAAGATTTGACTCTAGAATAAAAAGCTTGTGTTTATTATTTTTAAATAACGTGAGAATTTTTGATCAGGTTTTCATTAACCTGAAAACTCTAGAATTTTTCAAAATATGGACCATGAGATTGGTGCTGTAGGTCATAAGTAATGTTTTTCTTAATGAAATCAAATAGAAGAGAATGCTATCACATATAGTTGAGAATTGTTTTGTGAACTTACCATTTTGGTTATGTATGTGGTGCAAATTGAGTCATAGTAGAAAATGAAGTGTTACTTCGTTTTGTTTTTCTGTTGGTTGCAAGAGGGAAAAAGGAAGAAAGAAAATTGAAAGCCATTGTTCTAACCTATGGAGTCTCAGCCAGGCTCCACAGATGGACTTCAGCATGCTCTTATCTTTCTAGCACTATTTGCAGTTGATCTTTTGAGGTGGGGAAGTAATACTTCCTTTGGAGAAAGGAGCCAGAATTTTTTCTGATTTTCAAAAGGATCTGTGACTGTTTTGGTTTTTTTTTTTCTTTCAACATTTCTCAAACTTATTTTGGCAGTGTATTCAGAAACAAGCTTATATACATTGCCAATGTTTTTGATCCAAGTATATTTTGGTTTTGATCCAGTATACTGAGATCTTCGATCTTACTATCCATGGCTTCTAATCACTAATTGCCTGCAAAGGTAAATACTTGCCTTTAAATCTGAAGACATCATATTGAAGAGAATTGATCTAAATGCACTTCCCAGGCCAGGCATGGTAGCGTATGTCTATAGTCCCAGCACTTGGGAGACTGAGGCAGAAGGATTGCCTCGAGTTCAAGTCCAGCTTGGCCTACAGAGTGAGTCCAGGCCAGCCTGAATTACATAGCAAGACCCTATCTCAAGAAGACAAAGGCACTTCCCAGAGAGAGGTTTTGTTTTGTTTTTTTATGATACTAGGGGTTAAACACCACCCTGCCCTGAATCTCCAGCCTCCCTCCCTCCCTTCCTTCCTTGAGACAGTCTCACTAGGTCACCCAGGTTGGGCTTGAACTTGTGATCCTCCTCCTTCTGCGTCTCAGAGTGCTTGGATTACAGGCCTGCACTACTCCCAAAGAGTTTTCTAAAACATTTTGAGGTTTAGTCCAATTATGAGAATGAGTCCCCAGATGAGACTATTTTGAATGGCAAATCTAAATAACTTCTATGATGCTTATTTTTAAAACCTGACATATTACTTCATGAGTGCAGCACATATCTGCATAGATGTCTTTATACGCATTATTGTGGTAACAAAGAATAACTCTTATCCTTCAGGAACATTTGGTGGGTTTTTATGCCAAGAAAAATTTTACTCATCTGTTTTTACAATGGAGCACTTATAAATAGATTCCCTAGAATTAAGCAGTGTATGCTTATTTATTAACGTATTTTGAATAAAGGCTGAAATATCCCAGTGTGGGCATCTAGCTAAAATTAAATGTTAGTAACAGTGTAGCAAGGAGAAGTGTTGAAAGCGATCATCTAACTTAATTATAAACTGTAATTTTAGCTCTCTGATTTAAAGCTTATAAGTAGCCTTTCTAATATCCTTAAATAGGAATATGTCATCATCAAAAACCTAAACGTCCTTGAATTTTTTCTTTTTTTTTTTTTTACTTTCCCTAGATTAAGAAGATCATTATACTTCTACCCAGTATTTATTGAGTACCTGTTGTTTAGGTAACATTAAATTAAACTCTCTGGGGGATATGGAAGGAATAACAAAGCCTTCTGAGTTTGCCAGCATATTTTCCAGTATAACAAATGAATTCAGAAAATATATATTAAGCGGCAGACCAGCAGAATACCAGCAGGCACTGTGTTCATGGTAGCAAATCCACTAAATAAGAAATGCTCTGTTCTCAGGAAGCTTACAGAGAAGATACAGACAGGTATTCAGACATCTCTGTGACGTCAGAGTCAGCTCAGGGATGAGGTGAGACAGAGTACTGTGGGAGTAACAGGAGGGGAACCTGGCCTGATTGGGAGCGATCAGGGAAGGTTTTCTAGAGGAAGCCATGGTTTCTAGAGAAAGCCATGGCTGAGGCCTGCAGGATGAGTTAATGAGACACACTAGGGAAGAGAGGTGAGCATCATAGGAGAGGGATGCATACTGGAAATTCAAAGAACAAGGGAGCCTGGGACATTGAATGTATCAATACCAGTGCAGGAGAATAGATAGGGAGAAGGAAGGGTCTCAGAATGGAAACAGGCCAGATTGTGAAGGACCTGTGCTCCATGTCTCAGAGTCAGAGCTCTCTGTGAATACAGTACGGAGCCCTGTTTTCCATGAGGCAGTGTTTGTCTTTGAAAAAGATGAGTCAGAGCCGGGGATGTAGCTCAGCGGCACAGCACCTGCCTGGCAAGCACAAGGCCCTGAGTTCGATTCCCAGTACAAAAAAAAAAAAAAAGATGGTTCAGGCTGTAGTGTGGGGAACAGATTTGAGGCTGGCAAAGCTAAAGACAGAAAACTGCTGCAGTAGCTCTCAGTTCAGTAGACTCCGTAAGATCTGAAGATCCAACTAAGGTATCTAATACATGATTCTTTTCTGTGTGCCAGACACTCTTGTAAGCCCTGGGAATATGGCACTGAATATGATAATGAAATTTTATTCTGATGAGGAGGAAAAAAGTCAGAAGCAAAACAAAGCTTTGGTGAAAGTCAAACAGGATGACGGACATAGTCATTAGAAAGCCGCTAGGAATTAGAGAGCAAAGCAGAGTACTTCAAGGACAAGCCATGTAAACCAAGGCCTAAATGCTAAGAAGGAGCCAGCCAAGCTAGGATCTATGAGGTCAGAGCACAAGGAACAGCAAACCCAAAGGCTCTGAGGTAGGACTGAACTTGGGACGTTGAGAATGGGAGCGAAAGCACATGTGGCCAGAATTTTATGAGCAGTGAAAAGAGTGGTACAAGAGTGGGAAAGAGCAGATCATATAGGGCCTCATATGCTGGAAGGAACCGGAGAGAAGTGAACAGAGTTGGAAGTTTATAGGAAGCAGCCTTGGGAAGATGTACTGATGCCCTGTTTGCGTGGATGGTGAATGATAGGGAAGGATGAGCAGTGACCACCTGCCTTGTCCCATGTGCTGCTGGGTAGATGGAAGCACATGCCATTCACTGTGACAGTGAAGTTACAGCAGGAGCAGTTCTGGAGGGTGCAGTGACTTTTGACACCAACTGTTCAGGGTTAGATCACAATTCCCAGCTTGAGGGTACAGTTTCCCACAAGGCTGCCTTCGCTTCAGATACCATTTTCAAGTCTGGGGGCTCCTTCACCTCATCCTGGCCACAAATCTGATGTTCCCAGGTTCAGCAGTTCCCTAGAACAACTTGTCACTGGCTAGCGTGGACCTTTGCTTTAGTGACATTGGAAATTAAAACTAAAGCAACAGTATGGATTTACGGGCAAAAGCAGGTAATTAGAAAGTAAGGGAAGGTGATAAGGACTTCAGCTTAGGTAGCTGACAAAGATCAAGCCAGCCCCTTAACAAAGGGGAATGAGTGAAAAGAGAGAAAAGACCCCGGGGCAGATAGCTGGGAGGGGCACACTCTGATGGAGAGGTCTGGCCCATTCCTAAAAGAAGGGAGGCCAGTTTTATGGGGTGTGGTAGTGAGCCGGGGTCTGGTGGATCATCTCAGTCCTGTTTCGTAGCTTCGGAGGACTCCTCATGATTTGAGGGCAGTTTGTTTCCTGTGAGATAATTGTCTCTGAGGCAGTCTCCATCAAGAAAGGCTGTGCTGGAATCCAGGATGACTAGGTTAGGGCATTGGGGATTTCTGGGCATAGCTGAATGTCCTTATAATCTCTTACCCTGCTGTCCTCAGTCTGGAAGGGTGATGAGATAGGCTAGGTAAATTTGAAGCTAATAAACCTTGTTTGGCCAGCTTTTAGGTAGACACTCCCTGAATGACTAAAAGGTCTATATACAGAGCTAAAAAGGACTTAACTCAGCATTTTACACAAGGATGGTCAAGCTTTGACCTATTAGACATCTGTTAAGAGTCACCGTTTTTTAGCAAAAATCACTTTTAGGTCCTTAACTACCTCAGAAGAAAACACGAATCATGGTTTAAAGGAGTAACATGTTAAGGACTCAGGAGTTTGTCCTCTGTCCCTGTGGTGTGAGAAACTCACAGAATTCAGAAAGGACTAAGATTGTGGGTTCGTTACAGCAAAAGGGTGCAAACTAGAACAAACCAAAGGGAGAGGTGTGTAGGGCAGACTCTAGGAGGAAAGGCTGGACTCAAAGCTTCCATTGTCCTTTTCTTGTGGAGTCAGGCTGTTAGGCTCCTGGCATATCACTGTTTGGTGGGATACTATGTGAACTGATGACCCAGGAAGCTCACCTGAGTTACAGGAATCCATTGTTTTACTGTCAGTTATGTAGGCACAATTGACTGAATTGTGGGGGCTGGAGGTTGAACTCACCCTCCAGCCCCCATGCTGAGTCATCTCCTTAGAGACTAGGCTGGAGAACCATCCTGCTTCAGTTGTTAGCACAACTGTCACATGTGCTCTGCACAACCTACTGTGAGTGACAAAGACACTTATAACTCAGAATTTTAAGAATTTAGAGACTACCTCCCAGGAGCTGAGGACAAAAAACACCTAAACATTTTGTTCCTACAGCTTAGAGGTTACCTCCCAGGACCCAGGATAAAAACCACCAAATTCTCTGTTATGCAAGAGGTAAGACAGAAAACGATGAGCTGAGGTTTGGCTGTGTGAGGAAATATTTTCAAAGCAGTCCAAGCAAAGACAGGGAGTAAAGGAAGTTGAATTTGTCACATCAAAGAGTTCATCACTGTTAGAAATGGACATTTTGATGTTACCAGCTTGTAGATTTGTGGGCGAGATTGGTTCAGAAGTGTGTAGAGTGAGAA